AAAGAAGAGGATGTCTCTCTCCACAAATCCCATTCCAGAGTGACAGAAGAAGCATCTGCTCTACGATAATATTGGGGGACCTGAATGCACCTGTCAGCATTGACATTCCAGAGTGACAGAAGAAGCATCTGCTCTACGATAATATTGGGGGACCTGAATGCACCTCTCAGCATTGAACAGATCATCTAGGCAACAAGTCAACAGAGTAGCCATTACTCTTTCAGAGGGAGAGAAGAAATCTAGGGTTATCAAAGGTGAGAGGGGGAGGAAGAAGGGGATGGGGAGAAATTGGACAAGGGACATAAAGAGAGGGGGAGGAAGAAGGGGATGGGGAGAAATTGGACAAGGGACATAATAAGTACAATTTGAACAATATATGTACTAGTAATATTGATTTGATCAATATATGTCAACACTGAACTCCAAAAATAGGTATAATCAATTAAGATTCAGTAATTAAAAAAAGAAACTACTGCAATAGATAAGTTCAAAGGTCTATTCCAGTTCTAACATTCTAGGAGTCTGACTCCCTCTTTCCAGTCTCTTCTCTCTGCTGTTGCCAAAGTAATCTTACTAAAGCAGTAGTGGTGACAGAAGGCAAGACAAATCTAGGCAACAAGTCAACAGAGTAACCATTACTCTTTCAGAGGGAGAGAAGAAATCTAGGGTTATCAAAGGTGAGAGGGGGAGGAAGAAGGGGATGGGGAGAAATTGGACAAGGGACATGGAAGAAGGGGATGGGGAGAAATTGGACAAGGGACATAATAAGTACAATTTGAACAATATATGTACTAGTAATATTGATTTGATCAATATATGTCAACACTGAACTCCAAAAATAGGTATAATCAATTAAGATTCAGTAATTAAAAAAAGAAACTACTGCAATAGATAAGTTCAAAGGTCTATTCCAGTTCTAACATTCTAGGAGTCTGACTCCCTCTTTCCAGTCTCTCCTCTCTGCTGTTGCCAAAGTAATCTTACTAAAGCAGTAGTGGTGACAGAAGGCAAGACAAATCTAATTGCTGGACTGAAACACTCAGATGTGAAGAAAGTCCATTCAGCCTAGTTCCGTGTAGAGACAAGGCTGTTTCTCCCTGCAGACCCAAGAACCCCTTCTTGCCGGCCCAGTTACTGCTGATCCACCCTGACACCTCACACATCTAGGAAGCAGAGTCAGTCCCTCGGACCACACCAACACCACCTCTTCTTTACCCTCCTCACCTCCGTGGATGGCATCTTCACCACACCAACACCACCTCTTCTTTACCCTCCTCACCTCCGTGGATGGCATCTTCTTCCTGTACTCTTTCTCCCTCAAACCAGATTTCCCCTTCCGATATGGCCCCTTCCCTTTTGCTCTAAAGATTCTTGCTACGGTCTCGCTATCACTCATCTTCAGTTCCTTCCCTTTTGTTTTGGAGAAAGAAGTCGTCCTTTTTGCAAACTAACCTCTCTACCTGTGTTTTTCGTGTGTCTTCCCAGCTTCCTCTAGACCCTTTCTAAACACACTATGAATACAAATAAGACTTGGTTCCTGCCCCCATCCTCAAGGTCACAGCCTAATAGGAAGCAAAAGTAATATAATATAATATAATATAAATAAGTAATATAATATATAATATATATATAATATATAATATAATATATAATATATAATATAAATAAGTAATATAAATAAGTAATTATAACAGAAAGAAAATTATAGCACAATAAATACAGGGTGCTGTGGAATAAGAGAACAAAAGTGCGGGGTGTCGGGGAAAGTTTCCCCGTCAGATACCTATAAGTCCACTTAGAATTGACAACTGGTGTCACTTTCTCTCTGCACCTCCCTCTCATCCCTACTCTCAGAGTCCCTATTCTTCCTCTAGGCTCTGGCCCACGATTCTGAGCAACTAATTGCCTCTTTGATTTAGTTATTCCTTCTTTTCTAAATTTTAATTGACAAGTAAAAATCGTATGTATTTATGGTGCATAGTTGTTCTGTCTTTTAAGGGGATAGAGGTAGCTTTAGGAAGTCCTTTAGGTTCATGACATAGAGAATGGGAGGGGGTGCAAAAAGCCCTACCCAACCCCACTTCAGAGTGAAACTTCTAAAAGACAACAATTCTCTGCTAGTATGGATCCCCTTTTACAGTGTAAATCACATCTTATTCTCACAGAGTCTACCTCTTATCCTGATCTCGCCAAAGAAATCCTTCTAGTACCTTCACTTTTTCTGGACCAAGAACGAGTGGGTCCTAGCCCTACCCCAGGAAAAGAGTAAGAGAGAGCAAAAACCCCATTCTGTCATAAATTAACAGATGGGTAGGTATACTGAGCAGAATGAAGAATTTGCCTCAAAAGAGAGCACTGCGATGGGAGCAGAATAAAAAGCCTGGGGAGCTACAAAATAGCCTCTCAGAAATGGACTTTAGTTTGTAAAGAAATAGATACAAGATGGATTCAGCTGGAGTCTGAGAACAAAGAGCATGACGTCCCAGGTTCCTTCGTCCTG